GAATGCTGCGTGGAAAGGGAGAGAGGAGAGGAGTATGTAGCTCAGCTCACAAACTCAGGTGTACAAGACAGGTAACTATTTCTCTGTGATGTTGTTCTAGTGCCAAAAGCTCAATCTCAGTCCAGGGCCTCCCTCCTCATCTCTGATTAAACTTATTGTGTGTGTGTGTGTGTGTGTGTAGGAGTAGGGGTGGGTGCCTACAAGGCGCAAAGCATGGTCAGTGTGAAGAAAGCTTCAGTACTCGGTCTCCTTTTATTCTCATCTAACTACTCTGGGCAGCACCTCTGAGAAGTGCTCCTTTCCACCTAGTCTGCAGGTGTTGGTCTGGGTAGGGCACAGCTGTTTCCGGGTCCTCTTGCTTGCAAGCAGACTCTCCCTTCCTCCCTTCTTTTCCCTTTCTCCAGGCTTCTCTTTCCCTTTCTACCATGCCTGAGCCTTCTCTGTCCCTTCTGCCTCTCACCTCTCTCTCTCCCTCTCTTACACACACACACACACACACACACACACACCCTTGCCCCTCTCCCCTCTCCAGCATCTTCCTTCTATTTATTCTCTCTTCCACCTCTCCATCCCCTGTTCTCCCAGATTAAGATGGCACACAGAGCCCCTTCTCCAGACTCATTAGCATCTAAGCTCTGCTCTTCTTTACTTAAGGGTCTTTGCCTAATACAGGGGCAGAATGGTCTAAACCAGGGATTGCCAACCTCCAGGATCTAATGCCTGATGATCTGAGGTGAGGCTGATGTAATAATAGTAGAAATAAAGTGCACAATAAATGTAATAAGCTTCAATCATCCTGAAACCGCCCCCCTCCCCAGTTCCATGTAAGCATTATATCCCATGAAGCAGGTCCAGGGTGTCAAAAAGCTTAGGGACTGCTGGTCTAAAGGTACCTCACTTCTTTCAAAGCGCGTTTTGGCATCAGCTTTGAGTGCTTTAAGGGCTTAGGTTTTTGATATTCAAAGTCCTAAACTCTTACATTTTAATAGTTGTAGCTTTTGAAATGCCCGGAACAGTTGACTCTTGGGCCATCTATAGTGGTGGTGGACTTCCTTCCCTGGGGCAGACAGGTAAGATGTTCTTGGGGCAAGGGAAGGGCCCTGGATTCAAGGAACTATGGCAGCAGGGTCTTGGTTACTGCAGTTACTATATCAAAATACTATCTGGTCTCAGAAGGACAAGCATATCATTTATTGAGTACCCCACTATGTGCCAGACATCACATCAACATATAAAATGAGACTTTTAAACAGCCTTTGAAATGGGGGTATGATCGCGTTACTTTCATTAATGAGAAAACAGGTACAGAGAGGTAAGTTACTTGAGGTTAAGCGCCTGGTAAAGCCAGGTTTCAGCTCGTTTGTCTGACTCCAAACCCATGTGCTCTGCACCACGCCACCCTTGGCTCAGAATTTTGAGACAGGGCCCTTCACCTGGCCGTGTGATTTGGGGCAAGTCAGCTCACTTCTCTGGGTTTCCTTTTCCCTCTGTGTTAAGGTAAGGAGTGAGGTCTTGGTGTGTCCTGCTCTGTCCAGCTCGAACCTTCTATGACTCCCAGGGCCTTGAGAGCCTCAATGTTGCTCTCAGTAACGCCTGGTAAGTGGAGAGACCAAGATAAACACTGGGCTTTCACCATGGGGTCCGTCTTCAGTTACCACGCCCTGTTTTCAACTAAATGAGAACTATCCTCTGGAAGATTCTATTTCGTGCAATAGGATGTAGTTATTTATAGCTGCATGGGGCCTTAGGTAGACACAGGTTGTGCTGAGCAGTATTTGTGGTGTGGCGGAAGGGGCGCCCTGCAGTGGAAGCCAGCATTGTCAGTAGGAATGGAAAGACTGGCACATCCACTCTGGCCTGGGGCTGACTGGCTGGCCCTGGACAGTGGCCTCCAACTAGAGGAGGTGGCTTTGGCCCGTGAGTCCTCGCTCTCCCACCAGTGCAAAGCCTGAGACCCTGATCTGTTCCTCCAACTGCAGGCTGCCCCCTTTGACCTGTCACCCCTCTAGCACTAACCACCCCCCGCCCTGCCAAAGGTTGATCTCGACCAGATTCCCCTTCTGGCTGGATGCCTGTGCACAAGGAGGGTCGAGCACAGAGGGGGTCTCACCTGGGCCCATTCTCCACTGGGTTTGCTGAAAAGAATGGCCCTGACCCGCCCCCTCGCCCCCTGCCCAAGGACATCGGGACCGGGAACCTTGAGCAGACCGTGGTTACCATCCCTTCTACTTTTACAACCGAACTTCTGAGCTCAAAGGGTGGCCACTTGTTGTTACATCCAGGCTTCTTACACCCGGGAGACCTAAGAGCTATTTATAAAGCCTGCCTTCAGTTCCGAGTGTCTGATCTCCTTTCTAGCCAGAGGACAGGGATCCTTGGGTGCCAGACTGGGCCCCTCACGACCACTGTCATGTATCTAGAAACCTGGAACAAAGGTAACAGTTTTGAACAATAGCTTCCAGTGAGATCTGAGTCACAAGGCACCTGGCAGGGTTCCAAACACAAGGAAAAGGAACCAGAATACAAATCCAGGAGGACTTGGACCCATGGGGGAACTACACAGGGGAAGGAAGGAAGACCCTGCTTGGGGGAATTCCTCAGCCCAGGGCACAGGCGGCCTTTCTGCTTCTCATGTGACCCTGTAGCTGCCCAGGAGGGCCAAGGATGTGGACCAAAGGAGACCTTGATCTCCTGTGCAGGCTTGCTTTGTACCTGGAAAAATCATCCAAAGAAGGAAATTCCCTTGGTACTTGTCAAAACTTCAGAACTTTTAATCAATTCTTTGGTTAACTGTTACAAGACAGAGACACGAAATGCATTTTCTTGGCTGGAAAACTGTGTTGACTACAGAGTACGCCTTCCAAGAACCAGGGATAAAAATAAGTTGTCTGTCTCCTCTGCTGATATCAGGAGAGGCCAGAAGAGAGACGAGGGGCTAGACACCTCTTTCTCTGTTTTGGGAAAGGCATGTCCTTACTTTTTGGTTTGTTGATAATAGTGGAATGCCAAGCTGGAAGGACAATGATTTTCAAACTCTGCAAAACCATAGGGTTCAGGGAGCCCCCAGATGCAGGTAAGCAGAGGGTCAAATTCACCAGAGCATCCCCACCCTCAACTTCAACCAGAGAAGTTCTGCTTTGATTTGGCTATGTATTTGGGCTATGTCAGAATGGTTTCATGGCTAAAGAAATGTTTTTTTGTGGAAACCCACAAAGTATTTCAGTACCTTATTTCACAAGGAAAATAAATAATAGAAAAATAAGGTGCAGAGGGACTGACGTGTCCACAGAGTGTGAATGACTGAATCAAAAGAAGAGCCTAGGTTGGCTGTAAGGATCTCAGTTTTACCTGTCTCACCTTGCCCTATCCCAGGCTTGGTCTCATAATTGATTGCCAGTATGGCATTTGTTTTCCAGGCAATCTCACCTTTCACATTTGTTTACTGCTCATTGTTTCCATCTCTGATTTCAGCTCACAGTTTTTATTTTAGTTTGCTGTGATGTGGGAGGGAGAAGGTGGATAGTGGGTGGGAATCCTTAAGATTTCCTTACGTCTTGCAATTCCAGCATGCATTAAAAGCCATGTTTTACCTAGGATCTACTTGTTATTTAGTGGGTTGGCCCTTATGAGTAGGTAGTCTGCCATAATGTGTGTGCTCAGTCACTCAGTCATGTTTGACTCTGTGCGACCCCATGGACTGTAGCCCCCCAGGCTCCTCTGTCCATGGGATTCTCCAGGCATGAATACTGGAGCAGGTTGCCATTTCCTACTCCAGGAATCAAACTCACATCAAATCAAACTCACATCTCTTTCGTCTCCTGCATTGGCAGGTGAATTCTTCATCACTGTGCCATGTGGGGTGCCCATAATGCCGGAGGGAAAAGCCCTCATTCATTTTATTTATTTATTTATTTTTCCCTCATTCATTTTAAAGGATCCTGTTTATGGATTCTCTCTCCTGCTACCTTTTGTCTGGATATCTTCAGGTTTAAAGCCCTATCATCTTGTTCCTTAAGAGATATGGCAGGCCTGATACCTATAGAAAAAAATGAATAAGAGGCACAAGCCAAGCTTTGTCTTCGCAGAGAGCATTCCTAGATTTTCTCCTGCTCAGAGGCTATGGTCTGGCTCGCTGGTCCTGTCTCTGACCATTTTCCTTTTCTCCCCTCCCGAGTTGATTAAAATCTTCACTTGACAGTTTTGATCCCTTATCTTTAAGTAGTGCTTTATAGATCACAAAATACTTACACATACACTGCCTGGCCTGATCTTCTTTGCACCCACCCCTCTGAGCAAGGCATCCTTGTCTCCATCTCAGCAGAAAACAGTGAGGTCCAGAGAAGTCACCTGACTTGCTTAGGGACAGAAAGTCTGTTTATTAGCAAACCTCCACCCATACTTCCTGATTCCAAACCCATTGCTTTCCCCCACAAAACCCGCCTTCCATGAGTAACAAAATAAGCACAATCAATGATTCATTCTTTATCTAATATTTATTGCCCATCCAGGATATAACAGGCACTGTTCCAGGCATGAAGATACAGCTGACAACAGATCCCTTGCCTTCATTACAGTCCTGTTGTGAATAATAAATAAGCAATGATATAATACCAGAGTGACAACTGCTATGATAAAAAATAAAACAGAATATGGAGCTCCAAGGGAATATGGGGCTGGATGAATGACATGAAGAAAGAAGCCACGGGAAGAACCAGGAGAGGAACATTCCTGAGGAAGCCCAAGGCAGGAAACAACTTGGCGGATTCTAAGACCAACTGAAAGACTCTGTGACTGGAAGGGCCCACCAACGGGAAGAGTGGGGGTAGATGAGATAGAAGAGGGGACTGGAAACACGTTAAGGGGGATGGAAGGGGGACGTTTGAGGAAAGAAGGAAAGTCTAACCCTTGAAGTCTGCTTCTCTGTTAAGTAAGAAGAACCTGTGTGTTGATGAGCACCAGATATTAACATGTATCTCCCTGCATGCCTGTCTCTCTTGCAGGCCTACAGGTTTTCCCAGCTTCCTGAAATGGTCATGGGCTCTCCCCCTCCACCTGTGCCTCCGCGGACGGGCCCTGTGGCTGTCGCTTCTCTCAGGCGGTAACACATTCCTCTCTTTGCCTTGTTTGGAATATTTGCAGAGGATTTGGTGCTGTGAGCCCTGCCCTGACATATTTCCTTCATGCCCTGCTCCATTCAGGGGTGCATCACCTGTACAGACAACCATGTGACCAGGGTACCTTGAATGCAATGAAAGAAGTGGGGGCCACAGAGGGTTGGCCTACTTTCTTACCATTGAAAATGGAAAGTCCTGTAGAACCCACAATTGAAAAAACCCAAGGTCAACTGCCCCATACCCTGAAAACCCCATGCCTTGACATAGAGCATCTAAAAATTATTCCAGTTTGGGCCGTCACAACAGCTGTCTCCAGTCTGGGCACCTCCTGCAGGTGTGTGCGTCAGAAGACCCTTCGTTACTGAGGGGTGGTGTCCACGAGGCTGGGGAGCAGTGTGTCCAGACTCCTGCCCTAACTCTTGCCTTCCAGGATGGGGAGGCTGGAAGTACATGAACTTGGACAGGTCAGCTGGGAAGCATATATTCAGCATTCTCTTTGCTCTGTAATACTATAGAAAGCATATGCTTTAAATACAGACAGGAAACAACAGCCAAGAACACTGGGGGAGGTTGGAATAGTCAATATGTCCAGGGCTTGGAGAGATACTGTGCCTTGGGGTCCATATGGGCCACTGCCCTGGCCTCCCCCAAAGTGCTAGTCACACTCTATGTGGACCACAGGTCTGAACTTTGTGAAAATGGTGAAAAGAAACGAGTTTTCCTCAGAAACAACCCTCCCTTCATTTCCAGCAGTTTAGGATGCTGAACTATATGTAGGCATCCCCCTTTGACCCCAGTCAAGCTCAGAGTAGGGGGGTGGGGATAGCAGACCAGGGTTCCACCTTACCAGCCTGTAGCCTGCTGTGTAACCCCAAGCATGGTGCCTCACCTGTCTGGCTCCTCTCTCCTTATCTGTCAAATGAGAGCAAGGGCCTAAATGATCTGGGAGTCCTCAAAGGTGGCCACGTGTGCGGAGCAGAATCCAGGGATCTTCCCAGGATGGTTTTCTAAAGGAGTAGCTGATGCCTAGAAACAGCACATGAGAAGCCAGAGCTGTGGGAGTGAGAAAAGGAGAGAAGGAGAAAGGGAGAGGGACCCCACTGACCTGGTCCCCCACCACCCACCTCTTGTGAAATTTAATCCTCACAGCCTGTGTCTGACCCTCCCTGGGGAATAGTTACTCCTGAGGGTTCTGAATTGGAGGAGCTTGTCATCAGTGATTCATGCTACATTTGCTGAAGGCGGGAACCTACTTATTTCTCCTCTCATGTCCTTCTGCACCATCTGCCATCCTTGCCAAGTATCAGGAGGTCACTGCCCTCCATAGGAACCCAGAGGGTTGGACCAGAGAGGACCTTTGAGATGGAGTCACCCTCCCCTCTGAAGAAACTGGGGCTCAGAGAGAGGAGGTAGTTAGGACTCAGACCCCTGCCTCCTGTCCTGCTCCCTTGCGCCCCTGCGCAGAAGGTGGCCCTGTGGGCTGGCAGCCCGCCACCCGCTGGGGCTGTTTTTGCCTCCTTCCATCCGAATTTTAGGAAAGCCGAATGCCTCTGCCAAAGATTAGACAGACGGGCTAAAGCACCCTTTATACTGGGGGGAGAGGCGGGTGCCCCCACCCCAGCCCCCTCTTCTTACCTGGCTTTCTGAGCACTAAGTGGAAATGGGTGTTAAGCGGGCCAGATTCTCTGCTTACTTATGGAACTTAAAAACAAAAAACGTGTTCTCACATTCATAACACCCAGCAAGCCCTAAGCTCATGCTCCAGAGAGCAGAGAGCATACCCCAGCCGGAGCTTCCGGAGCCTGGGGCTTCTTGCTTCCTGCTGCCGCTCTCCAGACGAAGCCTTCCCATTGGCTGCCGGTGATGTCATCGCCTGCCAGGTTGACCATCCCCAGCTAAGACCCTGTGCTAATTGCTTGGCTCATTTTTATGTGGAGATGAAGTGCTCTACCCCCCAGAGACACAAGATTCACCCACAGGGGAGCACTGACCTTGAATGTCTAAAAATGACTCCAGCTCGGGCCACCGCGACAGCTGCTCCAGGTCTGGGCGTGTAGGCCCCCTTTGTCACCGGGGGGCCGGCGGGCTGCAAACTCAGGCTCGAGGACCCAACAGTCCGGTCGCTCAGAGGCCGAGGCGCTCCCCCGCTTCCCCGGCGGTGACCTGCCCCGGGAGCCCCCCTCAGCCCGCGGGCTACGGGCCGGGCAGGCGGCTAAGGTGGCCTCTCTCCCCGCCCAGGTCCACTTCGGACGTTGGCAGCAAGACCAGGATGGCCGAGTCCGCGGGGCCCGAGGCCGCCCAGCTGCACGACAGCGCCTCCTTCGCGCAGGTGTCCCGAGGCCCCGTGTCCGTGGCGCAGCTGGATCAGTCGGCTTTAAATTACTCAGGTGGGCTAGAGGAGAGAAGCCTGGAAGAAGCCCGCGCGCTGCCCCATCATCACCCCCTCCACCTCTGTATTTGCCTTCCGTGCTCTCCACCTTCGGTTCGCCAGGCTCAGGGATCAAAGCGACTGCATTTCTGGATCCCCTATAGCTCTGGCTAGAAGAGCTATTGCTTTTATTTGTTTACAACATCTGAAATCTGACAAAATACTAAGATATATTACAGTCAGGGTGGATGTTAACATCTTTCCAGACCTCAGACCTTTAAAAAAAGCATTCCAGATATAACTGTCTACCCCCAACTCATTCTGCTTCTCCCCAGAGGTAATCACAGTCCTTAAGTTGTAGGTGTTAACATTTCACTAGTTACAACAGTACACTGTATTAATGCTGTATATATTTTAAATTTACATAAGTGATGTCAAGTTACACCTTTCCTTTTGCACTATTTTCTTGACTAAACATTGTTAGCAAGGGTTCTCCAGGTTGCTACACTCATATTGATCTAGTTCATTTGTTTACACTGCCATATGGTATTCCATTATGTGATATGCCAGTTTATCCTGTCCCCTAATGAGGGACATACTGGTTGTTTCCAGTGTTTTGCTATTACAAACAATGAACATGGAAGTTTGGACTTGCCCTAATGGGTTTTTTCTTTTAGTCAAACCATTCCTTTTAGGCTAAAACACCCAATTGTCAACACTTACTAAAGCATAGTGTGTCCAGAAATTCTACCAATGAAACCCATTCCTTTTGGTTCCTTCTTCTTGGCTCTTTAAAAACACCCATCCTTCTGGGAGGAAAACCCCTAGCACCAAGTTGTCATTCCCTCTTGCCAGCAGATCAGGGGTGTGGGGTGGGGATGGGGGAGTTGGTGAGGCTCTGCAAGGGGAGTTGAGCCATCGCTCCTCTAGAAAGCCAGGTCCGAGTCTCAGCAGGTGACTCTACTACTCTCTGGGCAGGTGAGCAGGGGCTGAGGCTGCAGGTGGAGATCTGTTGCCCTCCGCACTGCCCCCCCCCCCCCAGTAGCTCCTTCCCCAGTGCCAGAATCCTGTTTCCCAGCTTCCCTGAGCTTGTGCAGATGTCAGCCCAGTGGGCAAGGCGCTGGCTTAATCTCACCCATCCATCTCCATGCCAGGTAATACGGTGCCGGCAGTGTTCGCCATCCCAGCTGCCAACAGACCTGGTTTCACTGGCTACTTCATCCCGACGCCCCCTTCGTCCTACAGAAACCAGGCCTGGATGTCTTACGCCGGAGAGAACGAGCTCCCCAGCCAGTGGGCTGATTCGGTGAGACCCTCGCTGATGCCCTCACAACTTTACCTGCTTGACACACTTCAGGGAGAAAATGAATGTGAGGCTGAGGCTGAGTGTTTTGTTATCTCAGGCCCCCTCTCACCAACCAGCTGTTGAAAGTCAGCCTTTAGAAGAGACATTTGGAGGGGGTTGGGGTTGGGGGGATGGTGGTGGTGGTGGTGATATCCTTCAGTCAGATTCCACCTCTTCCTGGAGGGCACCCTATATCAAATACATTTTTATATTCACTGTCATTTTTTGATACACAAGACCCATCATGTAGGTATTATTGTTGTTCCCATGACGTATCCAGCATTCAGACCTGCATCTTCCCAGCTCCAAAGCCTTTACTAAGTTTGTTCCTTTCAACTTTAAAATCCTGTGAGAATTTTAGATGCAATACCAGAAAAAGTATTAGAAACCCAGGACAGAACTACTTTGCATGTAGATCCAAAGGCTTTCTGCATGTCTTCAGCTGAAGACTGTCCTATCACAGTCCCCTGGTTTCTTCCTTATATGACTAGGAGTTTATGGCACAGTTGACTTGACCCAGCCTAGACCAAAGAGGGGCAGTGACAAGCTGAACCTGAACATGCACACCCAAACCTGCCTTTCGGCCACCTGTTAAAAGCACTGCCAAATGAAAAACAAAAAACAAGCAAACAAAAATAGCACAGTGATGGCCCCTAGAGTGGGTTGCTACAGTCCCTGTGTGAGACCATCCATCATGGATAAGAAAGGCAGGCTGTCGTCTGAAGGCCCGTGGTGCTGTATTCATTTTAGGGTTTATTTCAGCGTTTGTCAGTACACATTGACACCCAAGGCCTGTGTCAGCTTTTCTCTCTGTCCAGACCCTTAGAGTCCATACTGTCTACCCCTACAGGTTCAGTTCAGCCCCAGCATTGGTGTCTGCTCTTATTGTAGTGATGCCACATTTAAACAACATCATCAGGGTAAAACTTCCCTACATATCCCATCATATTTCCTGATGATCAAATTATCCCTGAGCTTCCATGGTGGCTCAGCGTTAAAGAATCCGCCTGCTAATGCAGGAGACACATGCATTGTGTCTCCCGATCCCTGATTTGGGAGAATTCCACATGCCACAGAGCAACTAAGCCCACACGTCACAACTATTGAGTCTGTGCTCTAGAGCCCGTGCTTCTCAACAAGAGAAGCCACCACAATGAGAGGCCTGTGTAGTGCAAAGAGAGAGTAGCTCCCGCTCTCCACAACTAGAAAAAAGCCCACGCAGCAATGAAGACCCAGCACCGCCATAAATAAATAAATTAAAATTGTATATTAGAAAAGTTATCTTTAAAAAAAGCTTATCCCTTTAATTGCCAAAATATCTTTAAAATACGTGCTACCTTGAATTTTAAAATTCTGGAATGAATTACATCCTTCTCCCCTTCTTTAGAAGAAAAACATAATTTAATTTGTCTTTAACAAATGAGTCAACGTCATTATTATGCCTCACTGTACTAAAATGATATCTGTAAGATGGGCTCTGATGGTTTGTAGAATTACTTCTACGTCAAACATCTCCAAACTCTGCTTTTTGGAATTACTCCAAGGCTTAGTATGGTTTTTCTTTCTCTGACCTTGCTCCCAGCTCACTCCTTCTGTTGCTGCCAGTGTCCCCACTTTCAGATATACTCGCCCTTAAATACGCTTTTCCTAATGTACTGTTATCTGCAAATGAGGCATGTCTGAGCTCAGCAGAGTTGTTTGTAGAGTTGGAGTAAATAAGCTCTAAGAGAGTAACTAGAGGCATTCCCTACTGATAGGTCTACACATCTTAGTGTGGGAGTGTTTGGCCTGTGTTCTGGTTGTTAGTGGGCCTATTTTGCTTCCTTTGTCATGCTCAGCTCTTCTAAACAGCTGAAATCACGGGGTGTGCGTTGATCAGTTCAGATTTTATTTGACTCCATAATTCCACTTGCAATCTAAACATAATGTGTACTTTCAGAAAGTAGATGATACTTAACTTGTGCTAATTAGGCAGTGTACTTGCAGCTTTGTCAGCTCACCCTCTGTGAGCAGAGTGCGCTGGGTGCTTGGCAGGAGCCAGCAGAGGTGTTTACAAAACCTTGGCCCTTGCCTTCAAGATACTTACAAGTAACACTTAGCCAGGCTTATGGCGACATAACTCAGATGCCTCTGGGTTAGTATTGCCTTAAAGATGAAGGAAAGGGAACCCAGCAAATCAAAACCTCATCTTTTGGATAGGATGACCTGATCACCGCACTCTCCCACCCCCATCCCCAGTGTGAGGGAGAGCTAGTTTCCTATTAGCTGTTTTTAAGAGAAAAATGATTGCTACAGCCTAGATGGGTCTTTCATGGAGCCCAGTTACCATCTGCAGGTAAGCAGGTATGGCCTCTTGCGTGGAACACAGTAGCCAGTTGGGAGGTCAAGTGCTTTATCGCATTTGAAAGACCATACAGGAGGTTCAGAGGGACTGGTTGTCAGCTTGAGAAAGATATTCCATTGGAGAAAATGTTCACCCTCTGGCATCACCGCCTCAATGGACATGAGTTTGAGCAAACTCCAGGAGATAGTGAAGGACAGGGAAGACTGGTGTGCTGTAGTCCATGGGGTCGCAAAGAGTCCAACATGTCTTAGCAATTGAACAACAACTACATCCATGTGAGAAGCAAAAAGTGCCTACCATCAGCTGGTGCTAGTGGTAAAGAACCCAACTGCCAATGCAGGAGATTTAAGAGACGTGGGTTCTATCCCTGGGTTGGGAAGATCCCCTGGAGGAGGGCATAGCAACCCACTCCAGTATTCTTGCCTGCAGAATCCCATGGACAGAGGAGCTTGGCGGGCTACAGACCATAAGGGTCACACAGAGTCAGACATGACTGAAGTGACTTTGCATGCACGCACACCTGCATCATTTGGATATCTGGCCTTCCTGATTCCAGGTATCCAAATGTAAGGAGCTAGCTTGCATAATACCTGGACCTGGCTTGATAAACAGATTTCATTCTTGGTGCTAGATGGAGGGGATGCCTGCCATGGGCACTGGCTAGGCAAGGAGTGATGTTTGCCAGTCCTGGATTTTGGTCCACAAAGTGTGATGGGTCCCAACTGCATCTCCTGTAAGAGAGGAAAAGTATGTCATCTCCTCATCTTCCGCATTTCTGAAGGGACCATTTCATGCAAAGGACAGAAATGGTATGGACCTAACAGAAGCAGAAGATACTAAGAAGAGGTGGTAGAGGTGGCAAGAATACACAGAAGAACTATACAAAAAAGATCTTCATGACCCAGATAACCACGATGGTGTGATCACTCACCTAGAACCAGACATCCTGGAGTAGAGTCAAGTGGGCCTTATGAAGCACCACTACGAGCAATGCTAGTGGAGATGATGGAATTCCAGTTGAGCTACTTCAAATCCTAAAAGATGATGCTGTGAAAGTGCTGCACTCAATATGCCAGCAAATCTGGAAAACTCAGCAGTGGCCACAGGACTGGAAAAGGTATTTTCATTCCAGTCCCAAAGAAAGGCAATGCCAAAGAATGCTCAAACTGCTGCACAATTGCACTCATCTCACATGATAGCAAAGTAATGCTCAAAATTCTCCAAGCCAAGCTTCAACAGTATGTGAACTGTGAACTTCCCGATGTTCAAGCTGGATTTAGAAAAGGCAGAGGAACCAGAGATCAAATTGCCAACATCCTTTGCATCATTGAAAAAGCAAGAGAGTTCCAGAAAAACATCTACTTCTGCTTTATTGACTACACCAAGCCTTTGACTGTGTGGATCACAACAAACTATGGAAAATTCTTAAAGAGATGGGAATACCAGATCACCTGACCTGCCATCTGAGAAATCTGTATGCAGGTCAAGAAGCAACAGTTAGAACTGAATGTGGAACAATAGACTGGTTCCAAATCGAGAAAGGAGTATGTCACGGCTGTATATTGTCACCCTGCTTATTTAACTTATATGCAGAGTACATCATGAGAAATTCTGGGCTGGAAAGAAGCACAAGCTGGAATCAAGATTACCAGGAGAAATATCAATAACCTCAGATATGCAGATGACACCACCCTTATGGCAGAAAGCAAAGAAGAACTAAGGAGCCTCTTGATGAAAGTGAAAGAAGAGAGTGAAAAAGTTGGCTTAACACTCAACATTCAGAAAACTAAGATCATGGCATCTGGTCCCATCACTTCATGGCAAATAGATGGGGAAGCAATGGAAAAAGTGACAGACTTTATTTTTGGGGGGCTCCAAACTCACTGCAGATGGTGACTGCAGCCATGAAATTAAAAGATGCTTGCTCTTTGGAAGAAAAGTTATGACCAACCTAGAAAGTGTGTTAAAAAGCAGACATTACTTTGCCAACAAAGGTCCGTCTAGTCAAAGCTATGGTTTTTCTGGTGGCCATGTATGGATGTGAGAGTTGGACTATAAAGAAAGCTGAGCACCAAAAAACTGATGCTTTTGAACTGTGGTGTTGGAGATGACTCTTGAGAGTCCCTGGGACTTCAAGGAGATCCAACCCAACCAGTCCATCCTAAAGGAAATCAGTCCTGAATGTTCATTGGAAGGATTGATGCTGAAGCTGAAACTCCAATACTTTGGCCACCTGATGCATAGAACTGACTCATTTGAAAAGACCCTGATGCTAGGAAAGATTGAGGGCAGGAGGAGAAGGGGACGACAGAGGATGAGATGCTTGGATGGCATCATCAACTCAATGGACATGAGTTTGAGTAAACTCCAGGAGTTGGTGATGGACAGGGAGGCCTGGTGTGCTGCAGTCCATGGGGTCGCAAAGAGTCAGACATGACTGAGTGACTGAACTGAACTGAACTGCACCAGTGGAGTCAGGTGCCCCCGGCCTGTCCCAGCCACCAGCACCAAGTCAGTTGATGCTGCAGAGCTGGGAGGTCTCATAGTTGGACAGTGACCCTCAGCTCCAGCTGAGCTTGAAATCCAGGAAAAGGGGACATGCAGCTTCTTTCACAAACATAGGGCGCCAGGTGCCTATCCTTCAATGATTTTCAAATCATGCTGCTCAGAACCCTGGGTCCTAAGACACTCCCTTCTGTGTACCACGCACAGTTCGGGGCACTGGTGCACAGTGATAAGCAGGTGAGACACAGTTTCACCTTCACAAGTCGATGCCTGAGATGGGTGATGAAGTCATGAGTGATGACTAGTTATGCTAGACAAAGTGCATGGAAGGAATTTACAGGGAGCCCTTGACTAACACAGAGCTGGGGAAGGTCTCTCAGAAGAAAAGGAGCATGAGCTGAGACCTGACAGGCAAAGCCTGTATCCTGGCCTTGGCACTCTGTTCCCCCAGTTAATTACCAGTGTGTCCCCAGCTCACATGGCCCAAGGACTTGGGCAGTCTGACTCCAGTTTTCCTCTAAGATGCAAGTGCAATGTATTTGCAGCTTTGTCTTTCTTTGCCAGGTCTTGCAGGGAAATTAAAGCCCCAAACTTTGGGACATCCCGTCACTTCTTTCTTTATTCGGGGCCTCCTTGGTTCTCACCAGGCCCATTGAGGTAGCCTCAGATCCTGTCTCCTCGCCACCTCCAGTGGGTCCACCTCCTCCAGAGTGTTCCTTCCTACAGTACAGACCTTTCTTCTGGGTGACACCCCCGGTGGCTCCCAGGCCAGGCCTTCTTAGGAGGCTCATCAGAACCTCTGACAGGGACTAGGAGAGGCCTGCTTTCGTACTACATGTTCACCCATCCAGAATTTCTGAATCATCACCCAACCTCATCCCACTCCATCCTCACCAGCTACCACACACCCATCTCTGTAAAGAATGGGAACATCCTGAATTGCTCAGAAGTGGGCCGTAGAAAAACATAGCTTGGTAGCCTGGGGTTCAGCGGCTTTCTGATCTGGTCCTGCCCACCCTTCTTCCTGACCTCCTCCCACACCACACACACCCTCTGTGGCCAGACCACCTTACTGAACCTCCCTGGGGACACTGTCTTCCATGTATTGCCAGGCCCCTGCATGGCTCTCCCTCTGCCTGGAATGCCCCTTCCACCGTGTCTTCTGCAAAACAGCCTCTCGATTCTTGCTGTCTCCTCTCCAGACTCAGCTAAGATGCTTCTCCTGGAAAGCTGCCTTACTGCCCACATATGTCCCATCCCCTGCAGCACCCCAGGGCCTACATGATCCATGGGCACTTATCTCACAGTGATGCAAGTCGCATTATGGAATATAAAGATCTTTTGTGGATTACCCTGGAAACAGTATCCCCATGTGTGGCCCTGTTCCTGTGGGCAAGTCGATCCTGAATTCTGAATCATTGTCCTGCCGATATTTCTAGAAGTGTCCATATTATTGGCATAGAACTATCTTCCACTTTTAATGAAAAGAAAATTTTTTCAAGACACCAAGATCATATTCCAGATACATGATGTGATAGTTCAGTGATTAACTCTCAGCCTTGAAGCCAGCCTGTCTCTGTGGCTTGTTAGCTGTGGCAGCTTTGACTGAGACACTGTTTGTTTTTGTTTGCTCTTCTGTAAAATAAGGGTAACAATACCTACCTCCTAGGAGAACTGCTTTGAGAATTAAATGAGATCATGATTGGAAAGCCCTTAGCACAGGGCTCATTCAGCATTAACTGTTGTCATTAGTAATAAATCCCCGAGTCCTTTGAGGTCCTTAAAGAACAATACTTCTCTGCCTAGATGGTGCTTATATTAAAAAGGTAGCCAGGTAGATTCAGATGTAGACTGGGTATGTACCCACTGTTTGCACAAAGTGTAAAATGCCTATTTAATTGATCCAACCAGCAGAACCAGTGAGTCAAAGTCACCTAGCTTTTATATCTGCACAATGGTGAGTTGCCTTCCTTTTCTTGTAAATCTCTTTCATTGTCCTCGATGCCCTCCTCCTTTAGTATCTAGTGTATCCTATGACTTGAGCCCATTCCTGATACCTGGCCCTGTCTTCTCTCCCGACATGCTCTGCAGGTCCCCCTCCCGGGGTACATCGAGGCTTACCCCCGATCCCGGTATCAGCAGAACTCGCCCTCCAGGCTCCCTCGTCAGTACAGCCAGCCAGCTGGGCTGCACCCCAGCTTGGAGCAGGCCCCGGTGCCCTCCACAGCAGCCTCACAGCAGAGCCTGGCGGACAACGACCCATCCGACACCCCCCTCACCAACATTTCCACGGCAGCCCTGGTGAAGGCCATCCGGGAAGAGGTGGCCAAGCTTGCCAAGAAACAGACAGACATGTTCGAGTTCCAGGTCTAATGCCTTCACCCCTTGAGACTTCCAGACTCTGAGGAAGCAGGCTTTGGGTTTCTCCAGGCATGGTGGGACTGGAGACAGGAGACGATGTGGGAGTCTTTCTCACCCTCAGTTTCTAAAAAGGTGAACAGAAGGGCTTCTGGGGAACAGGAAACTCTTGAACAACGGGATGCTTGGCCTATTCAACTGATTGTATGTCAACAAGTCCGCATGTGGGACCATATGTTTGATACTCTGTTACGTTAACTGTTTGAGCTGTGGGTGTATTCCCTCTCCTATGGAGTGTTAATCTCGAGAGAGGAGACATTTGCTAATCTGCAGATTCCTGTCCAATACCACATTTTAACAGGTCATCAGAAGGGGGAGAGCACAGCTCTATCTTCAGTGACCGCTGCATGTTAATTCTGTTTCTGTGTTAAAGGCAATGCAGGCGTGTGATGAAGCCCCAGACTGTTCTCTCATTCAGCCAGAACTATAATTATCCAGTCACCTCCAGTCTCCAAGGGAGACACCGACTCCAGCCAAGAAACTTGAGTCCTTTTCTTTTAAAGGTTCATATTCAAAGTCAAATAAATTGGATGAAAATCAGGACTGTCAATGGCTGCACCTAAACATAGTCCTGACTCTTTCCCCCACCCCCAATTAATTCAACAAAGGCCAAGAAAGAGAGAAGATAAGAGGGAATGGTGGATTCGTGTTGACAGGTTCTTTGAAAAGGTGTTGTCATGTTGGAAATAGAGTATTCTGCAAGTTGGGCTCTAGCTCGAAGAGCATCAGTGCTAAGAGCTTTTAGGATCCTACAAAAGAAAAACAGCTTTTTTTGCCCTGCAGTGAAGGTAGCCTGAGAACAGAGCTTCTCTCTTTTGTGGGGGGGGACAATAGATACATCGACTTTTACAAGGAAATCTCTGTCTCTTCAACAATGATGTCCAGCGTGTGCTGCCCAGTGATACAAAAGGAAATAGTCATTGATGCCTGTTGGAAGCAGGAATAGTGAACCCAGTCTCCCCAGGCTGCAGCCTCTGTTTATAGACGCTTCTGAATGTAGAAAATCTGTTGATTTACGTTCAAATGTAAATAACATTTTTAAAGGTGTATGGAGTTAGCCAGTCCCCTCCCATACTTGTCCCTATAGTTAATAGACATAGGAGGACATTTGCCGCAGTGGCGGGCTTCTGACCTCGTGACCATGATGCTGTAAGTTAGGCTTCCTGGCATGGTAGGTCAGCCTCCAGAGCTCTGGGTGGACATTGCCTTGCAGCCCTGAGGCACCAGCTGCTGACTGTCAACGCTGACTTCGGGTAGCCCAGGGGGAGGGACACCCTGGCTCCATCACCAACTTTGGGAGCCATGCTCAATGTCAAGGGCTTTCGTGGTGTCTGTTGGGGAGTGAGGTCCTTTCCCGCCTTCGCCCATGATCCATCTAGCTTCAGCTTGTATTCATCTCCTCTGAGTCCATCCTGCCATTCTCCTCATGAGTTTCTTTGGTCTTTATTGAGAGAAGAAGGTGGAAATTTTCAAATTGAGAGAAGAGTAGGAATGGAACTGATAAGAGTGAGAGAATCAAACTGTCAAAGCACAGACTTTTCAAAGAAGCTGTTTTTATTTCTCAATGGCAAATTGCCCTTTCTGCAATGTTCTGGAGATGATGTGTCATGGATCCCCCCAACCAGTCTCTTGTTCGGATGATATTAGGTAGCGTCCTTTTGGTATGCTGGTTGATCTTTCATAGTGTTAGCTTTTTGTTACTTAAAAAAAAAAATCAGCTATAAATAAAATGTATTTTTGTAATTTCCATGTGTATATATGGTATATTTCTACCAATGGCCAGTAGTTGTAACCCAAAACCTAAATCAGTTTGCAAACACTGTGGACAGTGCAAGATTTTATTGACAGATTAACACAAGGCCTAAGTCTATCCAAATAGGTATTCAGTGCACTTGAATGAACAAAGAGCCAAAGAAACTCAGCCTTTTCATGCAAACGGTATGAGTCTGATAAAGTCAGCTACATTGTCCCGCCTTATCAATGATATTACTATCTCATCAGTGCAATGATATCAACCCAGTACTTTGTCTACTTGGTAAATGCTTGGAAATACTGTATGTGAAAATGAGGTTTCAAGACCTTAGTGTAATTTAAATATATACACATGCTTCCAAGACAGTGTCTGCACTTTGGATGTCCCAGTGACTCAGAGGAGGAGCCCACAGTGTGCAGTGGTCTGGCTCCAGTTGGCTAGAGGACGCTGAAAAATCGTGGTGAGCTGTGCAGGGTCCCGTGAGATTCCGAGTCAGTCAGTGGAGATGACTACAAATATAGCATGCGAAGTCAGACACGCTCTTAAACTAGACTCCACAGGTTTAAGAGCAGTATATGGGAGGAAAACCTTAAGGTGAGAAGAAATCAGTGTGGTCCCTGTTGTCCCACCAATGCAAAGATGGCCGCCATTGTTTGATGTCCTGTGACTACGATGGGGGTCCCTTTTCTGAAGAGTCTCCTGACTGTCAGGAGATGACAGAGACCTGGATGGCTGGCCTTGAGAAAAGGCAAGTGTTCAGAAGTGCCATGAGAGCCCAGAGACTCTGTGTTCCTCATGACCCTCCAGACAGTTGAAGAAACCTTGAAGAACAAGAGGACCTTTGGTGACCTCCAAGAAGGAAGCCAACGTTCGGAGAAGTGGAGTGACCTGCCCAAGGCCTTCAGCCCTGAGCCCACTTACTCGTGATCAGGCTTGCTTTCCATTTCACCATGCTGCCTGAACACTTGTCTGTGATGCGTTTCTTGAACTGTGCTAGGAAGTTTAAAAAGTAGACAAGGGTTATATGAGGGACTCCCTACATTCTTGCAAAGGAAAAAGATGTTGAATACAGTGTATAGAGGACAATGCATTTGTGGCATAATAAACATTTTTTGGAACTAGTTTCGATGTGAGTTTTCTGAGTTCATGAAAAGAAAAACATTTTGGCTTTTTCTAGAGAGTGCCATCAAGGAAACGGGTTCTCCTCTGCAGTTGAAGACTTTAGGGGTGTATTCTTCTCTTAGTGCCATGGATCCAAACAAGCAACCTGAGCTGATTAATGACTAAGACAGGGTGGATTATGTAGGAATCAGTTCTCTGGTGCCAGAAGTTACATTGTGCATTTGTTAATTTAAGAATTCAGCAGAAGGGCATGTATAATTTCTGGGCATTCTTGATGAAAGAATGGATAGGATATTGTTGGATTCGTGATTTTTAAAAAAAGAAAAGAAAAAAAACCCTCAGAGTACAGATGGAGGAGGAGAAAAATTTAAATACCTGACTAAAATGCTTCTCTAACAGGCAGGAACTAAAAAAATATATCAAAAGATTTAAATCCTGATTACCAATAAATAGGCTTCTTTTTTGTACATAACATGTAGGCATTCATTGTTTAATGAATAAAATAACATATTATTTTAAAGTCTGAGAACAGAATTTAAATGTAATTCACTCCTTGTTACACATCAGAAAGTAGTTTGGACTTTTCTAACAAAATGCAGCCAAATACGCTTAGGGAAAGATAGTAATTTAGCTTAGAGCAGTGACTGACTTGGGTCCAAGTGTTAGAAATTAAATGTGGCTATTTAGTCCAGTCTGGAAGATATTCTAGTCAAGGGCATTTGCAAGGACTAGAAACCCATTTATACTTGGTCAGATGTGAGGAGTGACTGAGCAAATACAGGCAGACCTCAGAAATACTGTGAGTCTGGTTCCAGACTGCCACAATTAAGCAGATATCACAATAAAGTGAGTCTATTCATTTTGGGGTTCCTGGTGCATATAAAGGTTATGTTTATACTATAGTGTAGGCTATTAAATGTGCAATAGCATTATCTCTTAAAAAATACATACCTTAATTAAAAAATACTTTATTGCTTAAAAAATGCTAACCATCACCTGAGCCTTCAGCAAGTCATGATCTTTCTGCTGGTGGAGAATCTTGCCTCAGTGTTGATGGCCACTGACTGATCAGGGTGGTGGTTGCTGAAGCCTGGCATGGCTGTGGCAATTTCTTAAAATAAGTCAAGTGATATTTGCCAGACTGACTCTTCTTTTCATGAATCATTTCTCTATGACTGCAATGCTGTTTGATAGCATCTTAACCACATTAGAACTTCTTTTAAAATTGGAATCAACCCTCTCAAAACCCTGCTGCTGCTTTGTCACCTAAGTTTATGTCGTATTTTAAATTCTTTGTTGTCCTTTCACCAGCCTTCATAGCACCTTCACCAGGAGTAGGCTCCATGTCAAGAAACCACTTTCTTTGCTCATCCATAAGAAGCAACTCCTCACCCATTACAGTTTTATCATAAGATGGCAGCAGTTGAGTCACATCTTCAGGTTCCATGTCTATTTCTAGTTCTCTTGCTGTTTCCATCACATCTGCAATTACTTCCCCCACTGACGTCATCTATGAGAACTGGAATAAACTTCTTCTGAATTCCTGTTAATGTTGATATTTTTACCTTCTCCCATAAATCACGAGTGTTCTTAATGGCATCTAGAATAGTGAATCCTTTCCAGAACATTTTCAGTTGACTTTGCCCAGATCCATCAGAGGAATCACTATCTATGAAATTTACAAAATATATTTCTTAAAATAATAAGACATAAAGCCAGAATTACTCCTTGATCTACAAGCTGCAGAATGGATGTGTTAGCAGGCATGAAAACAGTGTGAATCTCACCATACATCCCTATCAGAACTCTTGGTTGACCAGGTGCATTGTCAATGAGCAATATTTTGTTGTTTAATCTTTTTTTTTTTTTTTGAGCAGCAATCTCAATGGTAGGCTTAAAATGTTCATTAAATCATGTTGTCAACAGATGTGCTGTCATCCAGGCTTTGTTGTTCCATTTATAGAGCACAGGCAAAGTAGATTTAGCATAATTCTTAAGGGCCCTAGGGTTTGGGGAATGGTAAATGAGCATTAGTTTCAACTTTAAGTTACCAGTTGCATTAGCCCCTAATAAGAGAGTCAGCCTGTCCTTTGAAGCTTCAAAACCAGCCAGTGATTTCCTCTCTCTGGCTATAAAAGTCCTGGATGACATCCCCTTCTAAGACTGTTTTGTTTCTTGACTCTTGGCATAACTGATGCCATTTGGACACTTAAGAGTTTCTCCTGTCCTTTATACTGACCTTGTGGTTCATCTGGTAAAGAATCTGCCTGCAATGCAGGAAACCTGGGTTTGATCCCTGGGTTGGGAAGATCCCCTGGAGAAGGGAAAAACTACCCACTCCAGTATTCTGGCCTGGAGAATTCAGTCCATGGGGGTCGCAAAGAGTCGGACACGACTGAGCAACTTGCACTGCACTTTGCTGACCTTACCCAGGTCTGTGCTGTGCACTGAATCATTTCTCTGTCATCAAAGGCTTTGTAGTTAATAGATATTATTTAAGAATCATCAGGACCAGTTTGCCTCAATGCTCTCTAGTCCTTCCCTGATGTATTCCTGGTGCCCATGAGACTAGTGCTAAATTGCTTCAGTCATGTCTGACTCTTTGAGACCCTATGGACCATAGCCCACCAGGCTTCTCTGTCCATGGGATCCTCCAGGCAAGAATACTGGAGTGGATTGACATGCCCTCCTCCAGGGGATCTTCCCAGTCCAGGGATCGAACCTGCATCTCTTGTGTCTCCTGCATTGGCAGGTGGGTTCTTTACCACTAGTGCCACCTGGGAAGTCCCAAGAGACTAGTTACCTACCATAAATCTTGACTTAGGAATGCACATCCTATTTCTAAGCACATATCTCTATATTCGAGGTTAATTATAAAATTGTGCCAGAGGCTCCTCAGCGGTGTGGAATGCTTCCAAATTGTCTACCTGATCCCACCCTGGAAGATACCATATAATAAACTGATCCATTGATTTTATGGAGCTTCCTGCCTAATTTTTCAGTCTCAAGATACCTTCTCAGTTAGGTGGGCATTTTCTGTTCCCTTTGTCCTCCAACATGCATCTACATCAACAATCTGTTGTTTAGTGCAGCCACCTTTGTTAACCATCTCAGGTGGATCTACTGGATAACTTACTGCAGCTTCTACATTGCACTTGCTGCTTCACCTTGCACTTTTATGGTTTGGAAATGGCTTCTTTTCTTAAACCTCATGAACCAACTCTGCTGGCTTCAAACTTTTCTTCTGCAGCTTCCTCACCTCTCGGCCTTCATGAAATTGAAGAGAGTTAGGGCCTTGCTCTGGGTTAGGCCTTGATTAAGGGAATGCTGTGGCTGGCTTTAGACTATTAAAACTTTTTCCAGATCAGCAAAAATGCTGCTTCACTTTCTTCTCATTTGTGTTTTCACTGGAGTAGCACTTTTAATTTCCTTCAAGAATTTTTTCTTTGCATTCACAGCTTGGCTAACTGCTGCAAGAGGCCTCACTTTTGGCCTGTCTCAGCTATCAACACGGCTTCCTCTCACTGTTGTTCCATCACTAAGTTGTGTTCAACTCTTTGTGATCCTGTGGACTGTAGCATGCCAGGTTTCCCTGTCCTTTACCATCTCCCAGAGTTTGCTTAAACTCATGTCCACTGAGTCGGCGATGCCATCCAACCAACTCATCCTCTGTTGCCCCCTTCTCCTCCTGCCTTCAATCTTTCCCAGCATCAGAATCTTTTCCTCTCACTAAGCCGAATCATTTCTGGCTTTTGATTTAAACTGA